CATACCTACTTGAAATATGTAGCACGTCACTAACCATTTCCCCTTGGATTATGGGAGCTTCATTCTGCTCACCATCCTTGTCTTCCAGCTCAGAGGGCTGGCTACCCAGAGAACAACTAGCCTTACTATTAAATACTGAGGCAAAGAAGCATTAAATGCCTCAGCCTTTTTCTCATCTTTTGTCACCATGTATCCCCTGCATCCAATAAAGGATGGAGATTCTCCTTAGCCCTTCTTTTATTTCTAATGTATTTATAGAAATATTTTAATTGTCTTTTAAAGCAGTAGTGATATTAAGTTCTAGCTGGGCTTTGGCCCTTCTAATTTTCTCCCTGCATAACCTCATGACATCCTTGTAGTCCTCCTGAGCAAGTGTTTATTTGCTCCTACTTCCCCATTCTTTCAGCAGTGTCTTCACTTCAGCTTTACTTAATTTCTATTCTTCTTCCAACCTTTCATCCTCTCTTTGTTTTTAATTTCCATCAGGCTTCTTCCCTCCAGAATTTTCTGACTGTTTCTCAGACTATGTATTTTCCTGGCCATTTAAAAGCACTGTTTAAAAATCAGTGTTTCCACAGAATTTTAGTACAGTGGGGCCCTGTTCCTGGCTGGCTTCTATGGTATCAAAGTACTAATAGCCAATAACAGAATATAATTAGATCTGTCTTTACTGCAAAAGTAAGAAATTATTACTAGATTATGGAAATAAAGTATTTCTAGTGGGTAAGTTTTTATATCTCTCAACCTTTTTTTCTGTGGTGAAATTGACCCAGAAAATTGTAAGGCTGAGCTCTGAACACTGAAATTACAATCATGAATCTTTCATCATTTTGGAATAATGCTATATGTGCACCAGTAGGTTGAGTTTCACACCCATTCTGAGAGCTCTGTCCAGAGACAGGATGCCAGCAGATGGCAGATTGACCATTGCACTGGACAGTTCCCCTGTGGAAGCATTTGAGTGATTTATCTTTTTTGCTGTTGTTGTTAAATTATAGCTTTTTTCCTTAAAGAAAAACACAATGAATAATACTACATTAAAAAATAAAAGTCAGGGTGTTAATTTCTTCAGTGGGTTTTTAGCAGCTGATGTAATACACACTGATGCTGGCTAATAATGAAAAACAATAAAAGGAAATAAAAAAAAGGTTATGTTGGCTTTTGGTTTATTTTTATTAGATGCCAGGAAGTGGAGAGGAAACTTTCCTACCAATCTTCCATTAACTTAATCTGCTCAGAAATGCAGGTGTCAGGCGGTATATTCAGAATTACAAATAGGACCTTACTAGCTAACGTATCACTTAGATTGTAACCCATTTACCTATTAACCATGTACCAGATTTTGAGTTCAGTAACAAGACTGCAGATCCAGAATGATTTCACTAGTTTGCCTAGGCAGTGATCTGGATTTAAATTTCTGGCTTTGGGAATGATCTCATCCGAAAGTTTGATTCAGCTGCCAAAACTGATGCTGATATGGGGTTGGAAGAGAATATGCAGGGTGGGGGCTGCCTGGAGTGAAGCAGTTGGGATCCCTGGGCTATTTCATTACCCTATGGAAAGAAAAAATAAAGATGGTACTTTAAGGAAACCTCAAAAGGCTTTTTTGCTGAGAACTCATACACCAGTCCCGCAGCGGTGTCTGGTATGGGTTTGATGTGAGCCAAGGGAAAGGAGGAGGGAGAACGAAGAGAGAGATAACAGGGCACATGGATGGATAGAGGGGAGACAAAGAAAAAAATACTATTTTTAAGTGTTCATCCTCTGCACAGTTACTCTTCTGTACAAAATTTCTTTCCTAGAATCTGTTTTCCATCCGTTTTCAGATAAGGAATTTGTAAAGACTAGTACTGACATTTGTACAGTAACAAAAGAAATCAGAGAAGACAAAAATCCCTAAAAAGAAGTGGAATCTCTAAGAAAAATAGTAGCTAGGGTAGGTCTGATGTATTCAGAAAGTCAAACAACAAAGTTTAGGAAAGACAGGGCTTTGACAGTTGATTAAAGAAAGCTTTCCACCAGCTCAGTGGGACTTCTCTAACACCTGCCTCAGCCCCAGTCCGATCTTCAAACTAAGAGCTACTTTTCCTAAGATTCTGTTAAGGTAATGCTTATTGCCGTCTTCCAGGGGAATAAACAAATAAATAAATAGAATCATAGAATAGTTAGGGTTGGAAAGGACCTTAAGATCATCTAGTTCCAACCCCCTGCCATGGGCAGGGACACCTTGCTCTAAACCATATCACCCAAGGTCTCGTCCAACCTGGCCTTGAACACTGCCAGGGATGGAGCATTCACAACCTCCCCGGGCAACCTATTCCAGTGCCTCACCACCCTAACAGGAAAGAATTTCTTCCTTATATCCAATCTAAACTTCCCCCGTTTAAGTTTTAACCCATTACCCCTTGTCCTGTCACTACAGTCCCTAAGGAAGAGTCCATCCCCAGCATCCCTACAGGCCCCCTTCAGATACTGGAAGGCTGCTAGGAGGTCTCCACGCAGCCTTCTCTTCTCCAGGATGAACAGCCCCAACTTTCTCAGCTTATCTTCATATGGGAGGTGCTCCAGTCCCCTGATCATTCTCATGGCCCTTCTCTGGACTTGTTCCAACAGAACCATGTCCTTTTTATGTTGAGGACACCAGAACCGCACACAATACTCCAAGGGAGGTCTCACAAGAGCAGAATAAAGGGGTAGGATCACCTCCTTCGACCTGCTGGTCACGCTGCTTTTGATGCAGCCCAGGATACGTTTGGCTTTCTGGGCTGCAAGCACACACTGACGGCTCATGTTCATTTTCTCATCGATCAGCACCCCCAAGTCCTTCTCCGCAGGGCTGCTCTGAATCTTTTCTCTGCACATCCTGTAGCTGTGTCTGGGATTGCCCGGACCCAGGTGTAGGACCTTGCACTTGGCAATAAATAAATAAATAAATAAAGTGTATAATTTTCATTACATATCTTTTAAATCTAGAGCAAAATAGGTTCTCTAAGGTGAAAACAGGTAGCAGATGTGACTGTTCTGACAAGTCCCTGGTTCGGTGAAGTGTGAGTTGTTTAGACAGGCACTGTATTTCTGCACATAGTCTATTTTCTTGAGACATGAGCTTCAGAGATGCAGTGTTGCCATCATCCACATCTCTGGCACTCACTCACATCCCTGTATTGCACTGTACCAGCTGTGTTGCCATACCTATCTCAGTGTCTTGGGGTAAGCCAGAGGAGTGAAAGCAGTAACCAAGCAGGAACTGTTTACAGTTACTTCACCTCAGAAGCCAGAAAATCCTGGCGTGCCTTCAGAAGCATGTTATGCCCAGTCTGAATGCATGTATACTGAACTGCACAATGAGAGAAGATAATGTCAGTTATGCTCATTCCCATCTACTTCCAGTGAGAATTTGAATACTTGTTACAAGGTTTGAATAAAGACTATCTGAATTTAGCCTATATTTTGTCATTATAATGACAGCTGCTGTATTCTGTAACTGTGTACTCTGCCTCTGGAGTGCTCTCCTTTCTATCTTTGGATGCTTGCAGCCTCTGTGTGTACAGAGCAAGCCAAAAGAATGGGGTTTCTTCTGCTGTTTATTATAGAAACATTCTCAGGTTGTTCATAAATTCCCTCACGTAGGTAAGATAACAATGCTACTCTTAGAGTTTTATGACACCTTGGAATTAATATTTAATTGCTGCAGTGTCTCGGAAGTTTTGCCAGATGAAAATTATTTATAAGAATTACCAACTTTTTAAGTAGATTTTGAGTGTGTACATGGTTTTCGCAGGTGAGCTGGGAGAACTGATTCACCACTGAACCCAAATACCGAATGCCTGTGACCAGTGGCTATGGTTACTCTATACACATCCATTTTCTGGGGAATCACATTTGTATGTTTGTGGGAGCAGACTAGTAGCCAGGTTCTGCCCCAAATTACTGAAGATGGGACATAAAGGAATAATCAGACAGGGCTTGTGGGGTGAGAAGCTATGTGTCTGACATGGTTCATGTTTATTTTCTTGTACCAGACATAATTACTCCTGCAGGACAGATGGCATAGACTAGCCAATGTGTGGTGTTTGAGGTACCAGCATCATTCTGCCAGTGCCTCCCTTTCCTAAAACAGAACATGAGAAGCTCCTGGCTTTAAAACAAAATATTTTGCAAGAAAATACTTGCAGCCTTACCTAGTCACAGATGAATCATTGTTTTCCTAGTTATCTACACACTGAAACTGTGCCAACATTTTGGATTACAAGAAGAGCAGTGGCATGTGTCCAGATCCTCTGCTGAAATATTCTGTTAATATTGTGGGGGTAGTGAGTATTTTATACGAAGTGATCTCTTTCCCCCTTTATGGAGTTCAATTTTCCTTAAAATTCCTACAACATGTGTGGGCTGATCACTGCAATAGTTAAATGTGGCATTCTTAGGCTCTAATCTGTGCTGCTAATTAATGTAGATTTGGTGGAGCCCCACAGAGGTCTTGTCAGAGGCAGAATTTCTCAAGGACAACTCCTCTGGGAGGAATCTTCCTTTCATCTTTCCAGCTATGCCGAAGGTTGCCAGGGGCAAGCTGTCCCTTGTGTGGCACAAGCTCCATGCTCACAGTTGTACTGTTGAATGGAGAAAATGAAATGGAGCAAGAAAAAGGCTGTTAAGGAAATGCACTGGGTGAAAAGATTGTTGTGCCAACAGAAAAACCTTCCTCTCCTTCCTTCCCTGGTAAGACTTACCTCCAGTTACTCTGCCTCCAATGGAAGCATCGCACAGGTCTCTTCTAGAAGTTCTGCTTCAAAGAGAGAATCCCTGAAGTGAGCCATCAACAAATTAGCAAAACAGCATTTGCCAGGGCAGTGGCAAAGGTCCCTAAGGACATTAAACATCATTTCAACTAGACACACAAATATTTCATGGTGCTGAACATGTAAAAAGGACTGCAGGTAATAGCAACAGAATTAAAAGCAAGTTATACAATACAAACAAAAAACTGACAGTGAACTTACTCTGAAAACTTTTTCCACCCTTGCAATACCCTTCCCAAAGATGGTTCCGAGTTGGTCACCAATCCCAGCCAGCAAGAAGCCAAAGAGTGGAATCCCAAAGATGGCATACAAGATGCAGAAAACTTTGCCTCCAACAGTGCTTGGGGCCATGTTCCCATACCCTGAGGAGAAAAAAAATTGTCAGGTTCTTAGGACTTATACATGGCTTTTTTAGGAAAACTAATGGTTTAAAAAAACTGCTGCTTCTGCAGGTATACCTTTGTTCCACATGTAACTCTTATTTACAGACTTCCATGGCACGATATCATTTTCTAGGCGAGCTACCCCCTGTGATTTAGTTCTTCTTGTAGCCTCAGTTACCCACGTTTTCTACAGATTCATGTCCCATTGAAATTTGGTTTTTGTTTAACTGATCATGGTTAGTTCATAATTTACTCTGTCCCTCATAACACTGACTGGTTACTCAAATTGTATTCACACTACACATATTGCCTTTGAAGACTTTATTCAGTTCCCCTTTCGATTTGACAATAAAGATCCTAATGTTTATATTTTTGTCAGGGAAATCCCAAGCACAGATACAGGCTGGGCAGACAATGGATTGAGAGCAGCTCTGAGAAGGACTTGGGGGTGTTCATTGATAAGAAGGTCAACATGTTCCAGAAACATATGCACTCACAGCCCAGAAAGCCAGCTACATGCTGGGATGCATCAAAAGAAGCATGACTAGCCAGTTGAGGGAGGTGATCCTGCCCCTCTACTCCAGGTGAGAGCCCACCGGGAGTACTGCATTCAGCTCTGGATCCCCAGCATAAGAAGGACATGGATTTGTTGGAGCAGGTCAAGAGGAGGGGCACAAAGATGATCAGAGAGCTGGAGCACCTCTCCTGTAAGAGGCTGAGAGAATTGGGGGTGCTTGGCGTAGAAAAGAGAAGGTCCCAGGAGATCTTTGAGAAGCCTTCCAGTGCCTAAAGAGGACCTACAAGAAAGCTGGAGAGGGATTTTTCAAGAGCATGTAGTGATAAGACAAGGGTGAATGGCTTCAAACTGAAAGAGGGTAGATTTAGATTAGACATTAGGAAAAAGGGTGATGAGGCACTGGAACAGGTTGCACAGAGAAGCTGTGGCTGCCCCATTCCTGGAAGTGTTCAAGGCCAGGTTGGACGGGGCTTTGAGCAACTGGTCTAGTGGAAGGTGTCCCTGCCCATGTCAGGGGCGTTGGAACAAGATGAATTTTAAGGTCCCTTCCAACCCAAACCATTCTGATCCTATAATTCCACAACACTTTTAAATAATTTTCAACAAGGAAGTTTTTAAGCCTTTTCTCTGAACATACACTACCCACATGAATTTAACTGTCAAATCTACATAGAGCATTATGATTCCAGTAGCCATGGTATTTCTGTTAAAATGTTAGAGAGAGTAAACAGGAATTATGGAAGTAAAATTTGCACCTTTTTATTTAAGATCAGCTACCTTTATGAAAATGTTACAGAGATTTGTATTCTGATTACACATAATTATTTGAATATTAAAAATGATGGCACAATCACAAATCACTGCTGAAATAAAGTGGAAACACACTGAGAGAGATGGAGGTCTGCTTCATCTACAGCAATTCCTACTGGTCATTGGGAACTAAGGCTAGGCTCCCAGGTCCTATATCCTGTTAGGTCTGTGGCACTGGCATTGGACATATTTCTCTGTCATGGGACAGTGAAAGCATTATGCTGACACAGAGCACTGCCTCCCCACAAACCCAGAGTTGTTTTTATGGCTGTATGTGTGATCCCATATTTTTCCTAAAAGTCCAAGAAAATCCAGGCTCCACAGGCCAATGGACTGAAGTTGATCAGGTAGTCTGCCAAGTATCTAAGAGAAGCCACAACAGGGCTTTGGTGGATAAAATAAAATCATTTTCATGCCCAGGTACAATATATAGACTTTATGCAGCCTATGAAAACTTAATTCATGGAGAATTTAAAGCAAATATGGGCAGAAATCCAAGCTCTTCTCAATAAGTTATTTAAATAGCAGATGCCAATGAATATGCCTACATAAACTATGCCTACATGGTGGCATTTATTTTAATGAGTAATTTAAAAACTTGTCACTTGGGTCTATTGAGTAAACAAATATTAAGGAAGGGTTTTCTTATATTTGATTCAGAGATGTTTTCTTTCTCACTATCCACTGTTTTCATGCTACCATTAAAAATGCATGGTAATGCAGCTTAGTATATAGAGGAATAGAGGGAGGAGTATGCTCTATACAATCACTCTTTCATCCTCACTTTAACAACAAAGAAAAGCCAAAGCCAAAGGCACAGACTCCACTGTTTGAGATAATCACCACAGCAGGTCTTGTAACTGCCACAGGTTGGGTTTGGTGGGTTTTTTTGTACTTATTACCTGCATAAAGATTTTGCAGAATTCAGTCATATTCTCACACTTTACTGAAGGGTTATTTGATTGTCAGATTTTTCTATACAGTTATCAACGTGTGCATCACAGCTGTAACATGGAGAAGCACTTTATCCACCATTTAAATCAGAAGAATACTCAAAGGCAATGCAAATAAAAAGCAAAATTTGCCAGTGGTTTCCAAATAATCATATCTTTTGACCTTTAACCATGACAGCAATGAAATCAACCTTTCAATTGTATAACTTCTGTATAATTATGAGATTAACTTTATCATCAATGTTATGAGTTTATAATTTTTTTCCTTCAGACCATCTTCTGAAATCCCAGCTACTTGAACAATCTTCAGGAGAGGTGCTGGCTCACTAAGGAAAGGATAAAAACCTTAGTGTATCTAAGGCCAGCATTCAGAGAAGCTAAATATATAGGACATAATATATAGTGGGGACAGATGATAAGGTTCACTGAATAACGAACTTACTGAAATTAGTGGTTCAAGAAAAGTAAATGGATCAGTTCCATATAGCCTTTATCTAATACAGAGAAATGTTACCTTACAGGTAAATTAATCAATAATATTCAAATCCAAATTCCCAACAGCCATAGAATAGTCATTTCATTGGGTACTGGTTCTTGATCTTTCTAGTGCAAATCAAGCCCACCTGCACCTAGATCAAGAACAGATTATAAATCCTTAGCTGCAATGTTACTTGTTTTCAGTTCAGCATTGCTGTTCTACACTAGTTGTATGAACAATTTCTGATATTTACCCTGAGGCTCAACACCTTTGATACATACTAGAGGCATGCCTTCTGAGAACTGAGAGAAACAGAGTTCAGATGCTTCATTTCTTCTTTGTTATCCACCTTCCTCAAATTTAATTCATTATTCAGGTTTCAGTGTGACTATGCATTTTAAAAGATAAACAATAAACATACCTATAGTTGTGATGACTGTTCCAGCAAAGAAAAAGGCACTTCCAAGGTCCCAATGACTGCTGTTTTTAGAGGAATTTCCTATGGGACTGACTCCTGCATTATCAGCATCAATAGCATGCTGCAGAGAAAGAGACAACAAATCAGCCTTATGCATGCCTTACCATATCCTATGCAAGCTAGTATAGGCTCCAAAGGGAAATTTCAAGGACCGTGGGAACAGCTTAGATTTAAACTTTTTAATACCTGCTCAAATTACAGTAGTATCCTCTGCATACATGAGCTGAATATATGACTGAACTATAAGCTATTAAGGTGGAGCAAAGATACAATGCATAGACAAATGACAGAAGATACAAAACTATTAAGAAGAAGACTGGCACTACAAAGAGATCCATAAATATCATACTCAAAGTAATAAATGCGAAAGGAAAAATTCCCCAGTAGAACAGCTGATGTTAGATGCAGCAAGAAGGGTGGTAAATAAAAATAATGTTTGTGAAGTCAACTGAAGCCAAGAATCTTAATTCTAAGACAATTCATCATTGATTAAATTATTTATATTTTATAACTAAAGAAAAAATTAGGATATATATTCCGTTTGAAATGAAGGAATAAGATAGCTATGGAAACATCATGAAAAAACTTTACCATCAGCTAGCAATTCCCAGTTGCCACACTGGGCAGGACTGCATGTCTATAGACAGCATGGTACAGAGACCCCCAGCTAGTGCTTCAATGAAAAAAATCCAGAACAGAAGCTGTGCTAGCTATACTGCTTCCTGCGTACTGTCCTATGTCTCACACAGCACTGAATCAAACCAGGTAGACATAGCCTGCTGAATGTTTGCTTGGGGATTTCTAAAAATGAACCATACTGTACCATGGAGAAATACGCACTTGCTTTTCATTGCAGCTTCACAGTCCAAAGGAAAATACAGCTAAATACATCAGCCTCCAAAGCACAAAAATAAATCTCTCATCACCAGCTGGCACATACAGATCAGTTGCTCTAAGTTCATTCTTGAGATGCCCTTTGGTACATATTGTCTACTTACTTGTCAATTTCATGCAATCTATTGCCTGTCAGAGAGAAATTTAGACCTCACTCTGGAACAGAAGCTAAAAATGACTGCCTTTCAAAGTAAACCTCTCCTTCCAAATGTTCCCCTCTGTTTCTATTAGTTTCCATGAAACGAATGCAAAAGGAGCCAAGCTTCTCTCTGCCACTTACCATTTCCAGATCTTAGCCTTCCTCCCTTTCTCTTCCAACCTCACTTCCTGTTGCTGTTATGCTGCCAGATCTTCCCTTTCTCTCTCACTCTGATATTTGCTCCTCCTCCTAAATATTGCCACCAGTCTTTAGCCTTGATTATTTCAGTGAACTTATTGCCAAGGCTCAACAGGAGAGGTAAGTTCTGCCTTTCACACCCCTTCTTTCTTTGACTTTTTTCAACACAGAATCCTCACCTATCAATGCAAGTTTCTGCCTTTTCTCATTCCAATTCTATAACCAAAATCTTCTCTAACGAAATCTTCTCTTTTGCGTCTGAACTGTGATCTACAAATTGTCACTGTAATTTTGTATTTCACCCTTTTCTATATAGCTCATGTGCAAAATTAACCATTTTACTATTGCCCCACTTTTCATCTGTTCATCTCTACAATTTGTCTCCTGATATGCTCTTTAACTTCATATTCTTTTTGTGATTTTAGCACTGATATTTAAATACATCCATTTGACACCTCTTCTATCCCTAGCTTTCATGATACACTTGTCTCCTCATTCACTTCTTCCATCTGATGGCTCATTTATCACATTTTTTCTTTTCTTCCCTTTCCATTTTGCACTTTTTCTTACTCATTTTTTGCCTATATTTCCAATTGACTTCATTGTTATAAATATTCTTCTACTGCATTTTTTACTTAGGCCAGTTTCAGCTAATCTGCTCCCCAGTTCTCAGTTACTCATCACGTTGCCCATCAAAAAGGGATCTCAATGGGAGAACAGTGGCCTGGGTAAGAACAAAGGGCAGGTATATCTAAAGAGATAAGTACAGGACAGCCTTTTTTAACATAAATGTTGTTACATGCCAGGCTAAGCCGATTGTGAAATTACAGTATGAGCAAGCTATAGACGGGGCTGTTCGCATTCCACGTGGGCAGAAAGCCAGGGCTCCTCAGCACCTGACCATAACTGAAGAAACAGCGATATAGAGAAAGGAGGTGTTTAGCACCAAACTCTTTGAAAGGGCTTCTGTACCGGTTGCTGGCATACTGTGAGTTTCATGAAAGCAGAGATCATTTGTTTGTTTACCCAGAAGAGTGTAAATCAGCATAACAGACAGGTTGCCTGTTTAAATAGGCCATGACACACTGTCAGCTACTCGGCATGTTACTCTTGCCAAGGAATGCTGCCTGCCTTTTCTTGGAGTGTGTAAATGTCAGTGCGCTAATTACAACACTTTAATCACATTTGAGTTTACACAGTTTAGCAAGCGTGTTAGGGCCAAGCACTAACCCCTGAAGTTAAGAAGTGTCCCATTGCCTTAGGTAGCTTTGAGCTTCTCAGGCTACCTTTTCATCAAGTACAAATTCATTTTTTCTTTAAAGCTTGACTGACATAATTCATTTATATACATCCAACTATCCCAATCCTAGGTCTTAATACATAATGTTTTGCATACATCATGGAGGACAGAAAGGGAGCAGTAAGAGAGCAACCCTACAGTTAGCAGCACTTAAATATGCAGTTTCAGGTCATGGGATGAGTAAAGGATGCCTTACTAAGACCACCACAAGTCCACCTACACAGAAGTATCCTGCTAGATGAAGATTGTCAAACAAGATGACTACCAGTGGCAAGACTCTCCCTATTCACACAGACCATGAAATTTTACAACGTTTTCCCATCCATGAAACTACAGGTAGGCTTTTTTGCATGACCTGAAGATCTGCATCCTCAGGTTTTCTTGGAGTAGAGAAAGAACTAGTTTCCAGAGTGCACTCTGATGGCAAACTTTCCAAGTTTAAAACATTTCAAACTAGTAGTTTCAGGTATTTTTATAGTTGAAGTATCATCAAAAGTAACAGGTCATCAAAGCAAACTTTCTCCTTTCCTGTTTCCTTCTTCCTTCTCAGGGGGAATTACATGCACAGTGCACTTCCTTTAAATGCTTCTTATGAATTCAAAAGGCATTTTTCTTCAATTAATAATTATTATTCTATGGTAATTTATCTTTTGAAATGCCACCCATTCAGGGAAGGCAATAACCTCAAATAACTCAAAGGGCTGTAATTGTCTTTCTTGCTGTTCAAGTATTGTGTGTGTCCTAAAGCCGATAGGCAGATATGAGTGAGGGAAATGACAAAACTACCAAAGTAAATCAAGCACTCAGTATTGCTGAGTTTATATTATTATATGTTTTTTAAACATATATTTCTGGTCACTCTTTTCAGTTTGATTCCCCATTATTTCATACATGTGCATTTTACTCTTGGGCCCTTTGGTATCAGCACACTGTGGTCTCTCTGTAACCAAGAAGACATGGTCTGGTGAATCTGCGTGGGACTGCAGGCAAAGCCCACACCAAAAGCCCAGGATATGTGGTGATACTGGGGCAACTGAATCCTGTATTCCCAAAGACAGTACAATCTGGACTCCATCTTAACCTCAAATAGGCTTTATCAGTTCCACCTGCTGGTATTCAGGCAGCAATATTTAAAGACCATGAGGCACGGGCCTACCTTGGGCTGCCTAGTTCTTAACATTTAGGACTCAAAGTCCAAAGAAAGCTACAGTGAACACTAACTCGTTCCATCGGGTGTCAAGAAATCCCCCCACAACATAAGATCAAAATAATATCTCTTCTCTATGGATAAAATCAATAATATTCCCCTTATACTAAATAGATACTACTGGGGTTTCACCACCTCAGTTCCTGCACCCGCAACGTCATACAAGTGGCAAACTCCAGCTCTCTGCAGCCCTACCCTGCCCAGCCACAGGCTCTGTTGAGCTGGGGTCTGATCCATGGGCTGATGTCCCTCCAGTTATCCAGCCTCACCTGGGGAGGTGCCTGATAGTCTGGGCTCAAGGATGCCCCTGGCTGCCACCAGCCAGCCAGCTGTCCTCCCTGGCTGGCACCAGTGGGGTCCACAGCTGCCAGCTCCCTGTCCCCTGAGGAAAAGGTAGTCCTCACTGTGCCAGGGTACTCACATATCTCATTGTCCCTGGTGCACAAGTGAGTACCAGACTTCGCTGATGCATTAGGTGCCTTGAATGCTAATTAAGAACAACTTGGTGGCCTTTTATGATGGGGCTACAGAACTGATGGACAGGGGTAGAGCAGTTGATGTCATCTACCTGGGCTTGTGTAAAGCGTTCGACACTGTCCCACATGACATTTTTGTCTCTAAATTGGAGAGACATCAATTTGATAGGTGGACCACTCAGTGGATAAAGAACTGGCTGGATGGCCACACACAAAGAGTTGTGATCAATGGCTCAATGTCCGTCTGGAGACCAGTAACGAGTGGTGCCCTCAGGGATCGGTGTTGGGACCGCTCTTGTTTAGCATCTTTGTTGGTGACATGGACAGTGGAATTGAGTGCGCCCTCAGCAAGTTTGCCGATGACACCAAGCTGTGTGGTTCGGTTGATACGCTGGAGGGAAGGAATGCCATCCAGAGGGACCTTGACACACTTGTGAGGTGGCCTGGTGCCAACCTCATGAAGTTTAACCACACCAAGTGCAAGATCCTACATCTGGGTTGGAGCAATCCCAGGCACAGCTACAGGTTGGGCAGAGAAGAGATTCAGAGCAGCCCTGCGGAGAAGGACTTGGGGGTGCTGGTTGATGAGAAAATGAACATGAGCTGGCAGTGTGCGCTTGCAGCCCAGAAAGCCAAACGTATCCTGGGCTGCATCAAAAGGAGCGTGACCAGCAGGTCGAAGGAGGTGATCCTGCCCCTTTATTCTGCTCTTGTGAGACCTCCCTTGGAGTATTGTGTACATTTCTGGTGTCCTCAACATAAAAAGGACATGGTTCTGTTGGAACAAGTCCAGAGGAGGGCCACGAGAATGATCAGGGGACTGGAGCACCTCCCATATGACGATAAG